CACAACAATCCCGCCCCCTTGATAAACGGCGAATCACATTCATTTTATTCACTCGTGTAAAGTCCTGCACCACTCTGGAGAATTCGGAAATGCAACGATTGGAACAGCCGCTTCCCTACGACTTTAAGATGTCCATTGGTGCCTAACTGCTCTTGAACAAAAAGTTTCATTTTTGCTAATTTAAGCAGTTTTTTAATAACAATCATGCAGTAAATTATTAACCTGAATGCAGTTCACCTCGATGTTAAAAGTCCTGCTTTAAGTTTTTATGTCTGACGGTTTCTGTGCCCCTTAGACCATGAATCAGCTCCTGGAGAAGATGAAGCAGGGCGAGCACGTGTTCGACGTGAACGCCGAGCCAGAGCCAGAGGAAGACGACTGCCCCGACTTTGATGCCGATTATGAGGAGGGATTAGCTGACTGTGAGGAAGGATCCAAGGAGCACAGGGAGGGCTGCGAATCGTCCGGTTCAGGCAAAGGAAGGTAGGAGGACTGATACCGTTGGCTTGGACAGTTTTCCAAAGCTGCAGTGTTCAGTCTCCAGTTTGTGCTATCGCTACAGACATAAAGCTAAAAACACTTTCAGCTGGAGCTGGGCGATATGAAGAAAATCTAATATCACAATATATTTGGGCTATATCGCTATACACGATATATACCACTATATGTTTAAATTACCTTCAAAAACATGCAATACTAAATAAAATGCTAAATAAACAAGGGCTCTTTTGTGCGTTGCAAATGCGAAATGAAAAAAGAAATTTATCTAACATAAAAAAAAAAAAAGTGGAAAAGTGCAGCAAAACTCAATCTCAAAACTATTTGCATTGATCTTTACATGCTGGGAAGAAGCATAAAAAGTTATACGTTTGAGAACGTCGCCATGTTTAGAAAACGGCTGCAAAACCTCTGAACGTCTCATCAGAGGTGTTAGAGCATCTAAAAAAAATTTAAATAACATAATAAATGGGGTTCTGTGATTTCCCTCCATCCCTGTTTCTCTCATATGGGGTCACTTCTTCAAACGACGAGGTCAGCGCCATCGGCTTCACAGCTGATTTATCGAACGTTTTTATTGCTGACATGCAGTTTATTAAACATTCTTCTTTTTGCAGCAGATGACTTTTTAGTTGGTAGGATTAATCTGTACTGCTTCCTTTTGCAGCAATGGTTTTTGCGGGACGTCTCACAAGTGAGCTCATTTTATATCGCTCAGCTGAAACACCTGCTGTTGCCATGTTTTGTTTGCCGGTTGCTGTAGCGTGCGTGCACGCCGCACAGAACATATTCTTGTTTTGAGAAAGGGTTTATGATGCATTCAAAGTGTGTGGGAAAAATAAAACTCTTAGTGAAATAGATGCAGACGGCTCAATGTTGTCATGTGAATTTGTAATCGATGGCTGCGATCCAGTCATTTTAACTATTGTGCGTAGGAGAACTTGAGATACTTGGAGTATATTCGATATATCGCCCACCCCTACTTTTCACCCCAGGTGTGTCTCGCATTATGACCTGGAATCTGTCAGCTTTGGATTAAATCTTTATTGATAGACCACTTTTCATTCAGTGAGTGTAGGATAGGAGGACTAAACACTACAAACTCTGATTGTTTCATTTTTTTTTCTCCGCTTGTTTGAAACCATCTGTCTTTTGATCAAGCAGCGACGTGATTCCCATCGGAGAAGCAGACATCGCCACCATGTGTCTGCAGCTTTCCTCTCAGCCCAGGGAATATTCCTACTTCAGCCCCAGAACCATGGCCACCTGGGCCGGGCCCGGATACTGGCAGTTCAAACCCAAACACAAACGTGAGTGAGAGGAAGCAGCCTGCTGTGGTTAACGCAGCGTTCAGGAAGAAGATCTCCTCCTTCTGATGGACGTCTGAAGAACATGAGCTGTTTGGGTTAATTAGAGCGGCTCGTTCGTTAGCAGCTGCAGCACGGCCCATACCAGTAGCTGTTTACTGGTTAGACTGG